ATGCAGAGATTTATCAATATTAAGTTGGGATTTTCTGGTTTTGAAACATGTGAAAGCTATAAGTAAAGGTCAGCTAGACCTGATAACTGAGGATCCTAAATCACACACTCACTTAAAGATGGAATGGGATTTCTTCTGGGCTTTTTTCAGCTTTCCAGGTATTTTAAAACAATATTGTCACAAATCCACACTCAATTTATCTGTAAAACCTCAAAAACCCCTGGATGCTCCTGCCAAGCTCCCTACAGGAATACAGACTCATTCTCCTTGACCTCATCAGCCGCTTTCCTGCTGTGAAAATGCAGCCGCTGTCACTAGCTGATGAACACCCCCAGGGCACCACCAGAACTATTTTTAGTGAAACTTCCATTTGGAGGTTGTGTTTCATTACAAGTCCGTTTTTATCACACAACTTTCAAATGATAAAGACCTTAGAGGAATATCAGAGGCATATTATCAAAAATAAAAAAGCCAACAAAACTTCACATATGGACTTAAGGAAGGGCTCACTGTATGTTTTGAAGGTTTCAACTTGCATCTCTTCTGTGCTCTGCCACCAAGCAGCAAAAACATTACTGTCACGAAACATGAAAACCAAAGATGTAGCCTACAGCAGAAGCAGCACTCCCTCTTTTCAGAGAGGGAAATGTTGGTTTGATGCCCCTTTTGAGGACTCTCCCCCACATATGTGGAAAAGGTATTTGTAGGTGTCAGAAACAGTCAAGACAGAAGTCTTCCAGCCATCACTGCTCCATGAAGTTAAATTATTAAGTTCAATTAAAAATTACAAAGCTTTTTAAAAAGGAGAAAATGTAAAACTTTCTGGCTTTTAAACTGTCTTCTAAATGAAAGCTTGGAATCAAGCAGACACACTCGGCTTTGTTGTAAATACAACTTTTTCCAGTGCCTCTGCCACTCAACATGCTGAAGTAGAAGCAGCTTCCCTTGTCCTCAGCACACCCCAGGGAGACTTTGGTCCAAGACAAATACAGTAAATAAGTAGATAAGGGAACAACCAAATGATCTGAAGTAGCAGCACAAGCAGCAGGTGCAGGACATCAACTACCTGACTACTTTCCAGAGAGAACCAATGTAAGATTGGACAAATTTTGAGCTTTGGAAAGTACATTACTTCCTTGTGCAATGGACTTCCCCTTCTCTCTCATGCTCATGAGGTGCATCATAACACTATACGGCTGCTATAGTAAATCAGAAAAAAATGCATGAAATGGTGCCTACCCCAATAAAAGCAAGCATTCTATTACTATTTCCAAGGGGATTCCTTAGGGATTGTCATGCTTTCTCCAGCATGATTGGCATAACAAAAATTTTGCTGAGTGGCACCGATTAGATAATATTTGCATACTACATTCTGATAATTAATTTGTTTAAGTTAAGGAGAAGCTCAATTAAGCTGGATCAGTCTCAAGCCAGTGACTTACTGGAAAAGACTTCATAATAATAATAAAACACACATAAATAAGACAGTCCTTTTCAAAAAGTTGAGCTGAAGCATAAATGCTTTTGCAGCCGCAGATAATTTTCTAGAAGACAGATGTCAGCACTTAAGCTTTAACTTGTCTTTATACCCTACACCCAGAGCAAAGATTTCTCATAATGTAAAATATCTCCATGTAACATTTTATTTGCACAAAATTAGCTCTACAGTTATCAAGGTAAACTTTCACAAGTTTACTTGTTTTGTACTTATTTTCTACAGCACTTTTTCCAGTATTTGGGAAAAGCAGCAGGAAAAACATCTTGATATCCAAGGATAAGACACTAAGTCAGTAAATATTTAACAAGTATTTCCATTTGAGTGGACTTGCAAACATGATGCTTTGAAACCAGAGCTTGTATATGAAGCAAGACTCTCTAATGCGTTGCATCATAAATACAGAATGGAATGGGCACCAAATATTACCAGTTTTAGGCAGGTATTTTGCATCCTGTTAATCAGTATGTTCTAGTGTTTGAAAGAAGAATAGTTTAGACAGATGAACCCTCCTACCCTCCTGTGTCTCCCTCTGCTTCTCTGGGCAGCTCCTAAAAGTCTTCTGCAGGGGGAAGGAATGCCCCTCACTGGGAAGCAACCATGTAAGGAGAGCACGCAATGGCAGGTGCAGAGATCTACCTGCTTCAGGTTACTCTTGTGAAAAAATCTCACAGAATTACATATGGACAATACAAAAATTAAGATTAATATAAACAGGTCTTGGAGGTTGGCTGAATAGCGGAAACAGGTTTTTTCCCACCTCCCTCAAACCTCTAAGCATAAAAGGTATAGCAAATCTCAAAGGGAAGAACCAATCATTTCTATCATTTCTCCTCTGGTTCTCCTTCAACTGAGGGATATCTTTGATAATCCGCTGTCATTGTTTTTGAATACCAGTAATAATTAACAAAGGATCTATTCCCCTTATTTGCCTTACAGTATCATCGTGCCTGACTTTCTAGTTTTTCAAGTGATGTTTGCTCACACGCAATAACTGCTCGTATCAAGGCTGCAATTTTCCACTCTTTGCCCTAAATATCATGTTGCAAAATGCAAGCTTATCAATTTGAAAATTACAAAATACCTGTAATCAACAATTTATTACTCTGTAAGAACATATGGCCAATATATGCAGAAGCAGTGCTGTGTACAAAGCCAATATTGTGTGTGAGGAGTACCTAGCAGCAGCTCACCATCCCCTGAGGTACCGCTGCCCCACCCAAAAGCCCTCTGTCAAGCTAGATTTTCAACACAAGTTTTGCTCTATGCCTAAAGACATCTGAAAAGAGCATTGAAGGCATGGGACATACTAAATATTACACTGCATATCTCTCCCATTTGACAGTTTATATACACGCAGGATAACCAGTGCACTATCTCTAGAATGCTGCTACAGGAGAACTGGATGATCTGCTGATCTGCTACTGCAATTTTTAAGATCTGGTACTTGTTATACACTGTTAAATTATCAGTTTGCTCTGATTTTAATACATTACATTCAGTTTCACAACTCATACATTCTTGTTATTCATTGCTCACACAGAATCATACAACATTTTTGTCTTCTGCTCCTAAATTAATGCAAGACTTGAGAGTTGGAGTTCAGTTTTTGCTACCTAGCCGTAAATTAAATTAATTGCCAAATATTTTTTCTTTTCCCTGTTTTTTCATTACTTTTTTGCAAGTGAACACACACACATTTTCAATATTTTCAAATAAATAAAATATAGGACTTGAGTTCTTTATTGTATTTTATCATATAGGTTATTTTGTATTAACATCCCCAGTGGTTTTGCTTTTTGCAAAATTTTCTCATGTAAAAGTGTGCTTATAAATGTGAATGCCAACACAGGGATGAGGGTAAAATAGGATAGAGGAAGAGGCTACTTTCATTTAGAGGAAACTGGGGGACTGCTTGTGTGTATAATATAAGAATGCTGCCTCTCATATATGGAGAACGCCGAGAAATCTTTGTGGCGCTGTTTTGAAAGGGTCACCTGTCAAGTTGAATTTCATGCAGAATGTATGCTTCAGGGGAAAAGACACTTTTTTTTCCCCTTCAATTCAGTCAAAGCCGTTTGCATACATTCTATATTTTTTCTCGTCTTTCTAGCCTATTTGGCTTTAAGTAAGCGACTAATTAGAATATACTAATGTGCGTTAAAAAATGCTAACTTTACCACCACCAAGGAAATACTGCTCAGGTAAAATTAGGTACAAAAGAAGTTCAAATTTCCTTAATGTTTTATGACACCAATAATCATTCTACAAGAAAAGCTAAGCAGAGAACTATTCCAAACATATATCAAACCCCTCCAGGTTTAAAGCAGTAGACTGAAATTTTAAAATACTAAAACTAGAACACAGTTCTTTGGAAAGTCTGAATTAAAGCTGTTTTCATCTTTCTAAAGAAACATAGCAAATGGCTAAATAGACCACTACCAAGATTTCACATCATGTGTCTGCTTTATGCACAAAGGATATATCAAAATCAACTATGAAATATATATGAAGAAGTGGTTTAGAATATGGATATGGTTTTTACTCCTCTCTGAGTAAAAAAACATTATATTTCTTTAATTTCTGATTCTTCATCAACTGCACATGTCAACTCTAACAATAATTAAAATGCACATAGAGCACTGGAAAGAATGAACAATTAATTCATGAAATTACAGCTGCCCAGAACAAAAATACCTAGTTAATACATTAAATGAAGTTCTTAAAATAAAAGCATAAAAATATTTTCTTAGGCTGCAGACCACAGGAGATATAGTGTGCCATCAAACAAGGTTGCAGAAGGTGGGATTTCACAGTTAATTAACAGTTAATTTGAATATGTTGTGTGAGATTTAAGGTAAGTCATGGGAGAATCAATCATTCAACATCTCTTTACACATAAGAGTTCATGCAAGGGACTTTTTGCTATGTTCCCCCTCTTCTCTTACCAATATTTAGTTATGAAGAGCAGTAAAAACCTTGTTATGTTTCATTATTGAAAACATCTACCAATAATATATTTTGCATTTCTCTGATGGACCAATTATTGCAACAACAAACTTCAGTAATTTGTTTAATAAACCAAAAGAACAGTTAGAAGTAATAAAAGATGGGCAACAGGAAAGAAATCTGAAAGGAAAAATATAAAAAACTCTGGAGGCAACTATGAAATTGCAGTCATGGAGAAGCACCTCTGGGGGAAAAAAACCCACAGGCATACAGAGAGTTGAGCTGTATCCTGAGCTCCTGTGTTTTATTAGGGTCAAGATGTAGTAGATAAATAGAAAGAGATTTTATTGCAGGTGAGCTCTGACAGGAAGAAAATTCTGCTTAACTGTCAAGAAAAGACTACTACAGAAAAATTTCTCATTATGATGACATGAATTTACAGTAAAAGACTAAGTAAATATATATGCAAATTAAACCATCCATCTGGAATCCACTGCCCTAGAGACACAGGCCAACATAATGACAATGAAGAATCCAGTTTTTCAGATGGATTAACCCTTCTCTTTCTCTCTCAATACCCTCCATATCCAGTTTTAAGTAATTCCTGTTGTCTTTACACAATCTGAAACTGCAAAGCACACAAAGTAAAAAGAACAGTAAAAAGACTTGAAAGGCAAAAAGGGCAGCTTCACATGTAACCTCCCAGTAATGAGGCCCAAGTACATGTCCACAGTACTGTAGGATGGACGCTTCCATCCACCAGCTCTCAATAGCAAGGCCCACTGGACATTAGTGTGGTACTTTCTCTCTCATGCCAAACAGCAATCTGGGAAATGAGAGACACCTCTTTATGTATGAGGTTTCATTTCCCTTCTGTCCCCATTCCAAGGAACAGGTTCTGCTGTTCAGTGTGCAATTTGTTTCCTAGTTCAAGTCCACCTTTTTCCATCCAGGGGAACAGAAAAAGGAAAAATTAAAAGAAAATTTTAAAAAGAGAGAAAATCTGCTTAAGGCTGCTTCTAAGATGTTAAGAAAGGAAATACATATGAAGCAAATGCACAGACTTCAAACTTATCTGCTCTGTCCTCCATAAGAACAGCATTCCTGTGTTTGAATGTTAAGAGGCAAACCAAAGGAAAAAAAAAGGCATCACATCCCAGGTTTTTGAATCTCACTTACTTCTGTTATACACTTCGACATTTTCTGCTGTAAATTCACTCTTACAATAACAACTTTGCCATATAAAATTGTGGGACTAAATATAATCACTTGTTCAGTGCTGCACTGTTTACAGGGAAATAATAAAGGCTATAACAAATAATTCTGATTTTACTTGTAAAGACTGAGATCCTTGACCTCAGCATATATTTCAGAGGCAACAGAATAATTGAGGTTTCTTCTCTTTGAAAGCTGATATTTCCAAAATGAAAGGTTACTTGGAATGTACATTCTCTGACATTCAGCAGAGACAAAACAGTCTGATTTTTCAAACTTCTCTTTAGTGATGCTCTGTATACCAGGATTTACTTTATTCCTCTCCTATGGCACTCCTCATCAATGGTAAATACAAATGCTTTTCAAGCTGTTCTCAAGATGTCATCCCTAACATATCCACTTTACAACATTTATTAACAATCATTTTCATCCTCACCCTGTGCTCTTCAGTAAGATCCACAGCTTCAGGCACTGCTTCTGTCTTGTAACACAGTTTATAATGTGGGAATTCACAGCTCCTCAAGTTTTTGTACTGTTTTATGTATTTGGTCACGTGAGTAAAACTGTGCATATCAAGAAATACATAGCACTCCTCTTTGCTAATTATTAAAGTCACAGAAAATGAATATACTGCTCAAAGAACATATTCCTTTTTCCTAACACATACATCAAGTGGCAGAGCTTGGAATTAATCACCTCAAGATTCAAGAGACCAAGATACTCAGAGACCTCAGTTTCCACCAACACTAACAAAAGAAAATAACATGGAATATTTTATAAAAGAAAATATCATGGAAATTTTACACCAGACCAGTTAAATCATTGTCAGCTAGTGTGCAAAACTGACACAGCTAAAATTGCACTATTCCAAAGAATTTCATAACTATTGCAGATATCCCAAGAAACCTTTTCACTCTTCTAGATGCTCAGAATACATCTATAGTTCTAAAAGATGCAAATTCAGACAGTATGTGTATTTCACAAACTGACTTGTTAATCATTGATATTTGGATTACTCAACCATTAACGTTTTGCTCAGAAGGACTAAAGCAATTCTGCAGACACGCTCATGCATTCTCCCTGGTTTTATACCCTTTTGTGCAGAGTATCATGTGGTATTGACTGACAATTAAGATTCTTTAATAAACTGTTCTGCAATTCTTCTTTCTCCTTAGAAAAATAATCCCCTTAATTCTGAGTTTAATCCCTTTAAAAAAGACATCTCAGGTACTTACAACTCACCATCCTAATCTCTATTCCTGGATTTGTACTTCCTGCTAATTACTTCATGCACTACTTATTCAGGTGTAGATGACACAATTTTTTACTGCTATGATATAGGATGTCAATCTAGAAATCTTTTAAGAGCTTAACCTCACTCACTGTCCCACTGAGCTGAACATGATCCCTGGTGATAGCAAGGACTATGATAATGAGCAGCTGCTGCATCAGCTACTCCCAGATGCACTGGTATTGCCACATCCCAACTTCAGAGGCAGTCATGCCATGAGTTTTGTTTTGCTTAAGAAATACATTTTAAAAAATTAACGTCACACTTACACAAAAAGTTTAAAAAGTCAACTTTCTGCTGGGCCTAAAGATCACATCCTGGAAGCCAAGAGCATGACATTTCATTTTCCCAGAAGTCTAAACAACCACAATAAATTTACAAATGTAGACATGCTGCACTGTTAAATTTCATTTCACGCTTAGTAAGCAAACATTATCAAACTTCAAGTACTGTCATCCTCTGTCTTTTTAGTTAGAAATCTTGTAGCTAATAAAGATGTGACCTTGAAATACTCCATAGATGGATGAAGTCACTTAATTTGCTAGTCCCTTTGTTACACTTTTTGCAGAATTACAAAGTTAGGTCACATTTACTCTAATTTCACTTTACAAGAACTCAACAAAATGCATTATCAACAGTCATTAAAAGTGCATTAATGAACCATGTACCTGAACTGTTATGAAAAATTCAGTTTTGAAATTAAAAATGCTGAGATAATGCAGAAGCAATTTTTTTTACATATACGTAGTACTCCTAGAATTATTTTTACTGCCAAAACATAAAAAGTAAACCTGTATGCTACTTTGCTAATACATTTTCAAAACCACAAGTTTTCTGTTTAAGAAGCCAGTGAAAATATATGGCGTTGTGTGAAAGGATAATGAAATGTTACAGAAAACAGGCGTAATTCATCAGGATTTTTCATGTGGGCTGAATCTACTCTGATGTTTATTTCAGAGTGAAAACTAAAGGAAAAATTCCAATGCTGTTTAATAAGCGATAGCTATTTTTGCTGATATTCCTACTGCATTTGATGTACTACACCAGAGTGACTATACCAAAAAAACAAATATATACAACAATATACTTCTTAAAATTATTTAGTTGCCTAAAAATATCCTGTTCAGTTACAAGACATAATGATTCATTACCATTTCAAATCTTATTGAATACAACAAATCACATTTTTTTCAGTCTAATTACCAAATAAGAAAACTTAACTGAATAAGAATTGCAAAACTCTGAAAAGTACTTAGGATCTCTAATGAGTTGTAAACTATTGAAAATAAACAAAGAAGTTGAAAAATAAGCATTTTGCATATTTAAAGAAAAAAGAAAATAAAAAGCAACCAAAAGTAAATTTTAAGCTTGGCTGTTCCTAAGTATGTTCTCTTTTTTTGTCTCAAATGATTCCCTTCTGAAGGATCCACCATCTGCACCCCACATATCCCAATAACTAATTCTGCACAAGGATAGAGCTATTTCGAAATCAGAAAGACTGCAAAGAATAAAATCAAGCTCTACACCACCATGTCTGGAAACAGACATAGCTTCCATCTAATTTTTACATGGATTGGTTTCGGATTTAAAATGTAAAATATCTCAACCAGATTCTCTCTTGGTCTCTGTTTTTGTTTTTTTTTCTCTTGGTTACTCTTATTTTTAAAAACACCTTCTCTGAATACTGGCATTTACTGAGGCCAGTGGGAAAAACTCCCACTGTCTGAAGTTGATGTCCTATCCCTGCAAATGTTCAAGGTTGGAAGAGGCTCTGAGAAACCTTATCTAGGGGATGACATTCCTGCCCATGGCAGGGACTTGGAACTAGATAGTCTTTAAGGTCCATTCCAACCCAAATCAATGAATTTATGACTTAGAAGAAGGGGTTTTTGTCAGATTCTGATTTCAAGCTTTAGTGGTTACTTTACAACAACCAAAAGGAAATGGTAGCATGAAAGGACAGGTGGGGAACGACCCTGTCTTTTGCAGCTCACATCCTTTATGTCATCGACTGTTACTCACAGTCCCAAAGCTATGACCTGGCAACTATCTGCAAAACCAAAGCCTGCAAGAGTTGGAGGAAAAAAATCGAACTTGCACACCTGGCTTTAAGATATACCAGTCCTTTTACACAGTGTATTTGCACACAGAACTGATGCCTGCTCCAGTGCCGTTTCTCTATTTGCAAAATGAACATAGGAATGGAAGAATTTCTGCTGCTAATTTTGGAAAAAGTCTAATTGTCTGGTTTAGGCAGACTATTCTACACTTCTTAATAGTGTGTACACCAGTCAGGTTAAAATCAAGTACATATGAATGGGAACACATGATTGATTTATGAATATTTATGTCCTTCATTTTACCTAGTGTATTCAATAACCTCCTGAGGGAAAGATTAAAAAATTACGAATCACGTTTAAGATCATCAAGCAAGGGTTAAATTCAATTTAACAAGATGGGTTCTATCTGCCAGTGCATTCAATCTTCCCAGAATTCCCTCTGATGTCACTTCCAAGAGATGAAAGGGAAAATGTGAATACAAACACTGAATATTAGATTGGCAGCATTGTTTCTGAAAACTACATTGTTGAAGGCACTGTGTGCCTATTAATATATCATAAGCTGCTTTAAAACTAGCTGCTAGACTTAAAGTAAATAAGAATTTCAACATGTAGTTCAAGTTTAAAGCAGACAAGATTTAAGAGACAATCTTGAAAATGTAATTTAAAGACATTCTTCAAGTCAAAAGGCAAAATGCAAATAAAATGAGACCTTTCCCTACTAAATCTTTGAATCTATCCTTCTCCCTATTTTTCCCCCTTCTGTGTACAATATTTTTAACATTGCCTATATTGCAATATTGTTCAGCTCATCAAGTTCAGAATCTTTTGATCTTTGTGCAATGAGAAGCCAACCTATAGAGTGGGTTAACATTCCCAAAAAATCCGTATTTCTAAACAGAGGGAGGAGAAAAACAAAAGAAAACAAAAACAGAAGCCCATTTACAAAATACAAGATGAAAAAATAACTCACATATTTCTGTGAGACATCAGCTCATGACTGAGGTAGTAGGATTGGCCTTTCACTCTGAGTAGAAAACCACTGACTTTGAGCCAATCACTTCTAAGAAGTCCTCACTGCTGCCTTTCAGAATTATCGGGGGCCCATAAGAAAGATGCAGACAGACTTTCCAGCAGAGCCTGTTGCAACAGGATAACGGGCAATGGTTTTAAACTAAAAGAGGGTCAATTTAGATTAAATATATGGAAGAAGTTTTTTACAATGCTTGTCTTGAAGAACCAGCACGGGTTGCCCAAAGCGGTGGTGGATGCCCCATCCCTTGAAACGTTGAAGGTCCACTGGACAGGGCTCTGAGCAAAGTTAACTAGATGAAAATGTTCCTGCCCATGGTAGACATGGGGGCAGGGTGGACTAAATGGCTTTTAAGTTCCTTTCAACCCAAATTATTCTGTGATCACAGTGTTTCATAGAATTACAAAGGGTGCCAGCACCTTAAGACAATGAAATAATGTATACGGGTTAATCACTGGCTCATCCTACCTGCATCCTTCCATTTCTCACTCATCCATACTCTTTAGCCCCTGCAATGGCTGTCTGAGCTCAAAGGGCCAAATACCACAATACCGCAGACTCCAGGAGTTACACATTGACTGACAATTATTCACCAAATGAAAACATTTTTGAGGATTTTTTTACACTGTCAGCAAGTTAGTAGATACTGAATGTGCCAGCAGAGATAAAAGCACAGTACTTGAAACAGTATTAAATTGGCAGCATGGAGTTGCAGGGGGTTGTTTAGAAATGGGGTTAAGCTAGTGTCTGTGCACATTTGCTTAAAAATTTATGCCAAACAATGTTTAAATTATACAAATAGCCTAACCGCAAGTGAAGAAATACAATATTCAAGCCACATGAAGACCTTCTTCAAACTCATGTGTACTTATTTTTAACAGGCACATCAGCATCCATTAAGCACAAAGAGAATTAATTTCTTCTTCCCAGTCACAATTAGGATCAATATGAATCAGACTCTTCCAGTAGTTTCAAAGTGGATCTGAAATAAAGGATCAGTCATCTGTGATTATTTAGAGAGCCCATGGCACTTTCATGTAAGTCATGTGACTACTGGACAAAATCTCAGCAACTGCTGGTCATTCTACTACATTTGTGTGAAGTAAATTTTCCTCACTATTGCAACAGGAGATGTGGTAGCTGGGCTTCTTCTAATTCTAGAGTCTCAAAGCCACTAGTTGTCAACTTTGAGAACTCATGGAAATAGAAGACTAGAAAAGGTCAACTTCAGTCTTAAATCAGATAGAGGGAGAGGAAGATCTTTATATGATTTGTATTAAACTTTCACTTAAGAAAATACTGAGATTAAAAAATTAAACAGAACATTTAAACAAAAAATCAACAAACAACCCCTGGAAAACAACCAACCTGGATCTCTCATAATTAAATAATGTCAGATTAGCAGCAAGACAGCAAACCATGTAGACAGTGCACAACAGATGTCATATGTGCTAACTAAATATTCTCACAAGTATGCAATATATGTCACTCTCTTAAAGAAAGTTTCCCTATGTCAGGGCAAAACTGACTGGAAAGCTGTACTGAATCCAAACAGAAAAGAAATCATTTGGAAGATGTGGATCCACTGCTACTCAATATTTTACTTTCTATACATTACGCACATGCAATCCTTTATGTGCAATTTCCATTTTTAT